CATTCTTGCTCCGAGTATCACAGTAGGAAGACCACAAATGTGCTTGATTGATTAAAATGCGCTTAATTTGATCATGGTAAGGCTTATCCGAAATGCTTGAAAGTAGCAGCAATATCGGAACGAGGTATGAAAGGGGGTGGGTGAGTGAATGGGTGAGAGGAGTTCATACATTTGAATAAGTATTCATTACAAAGCTCCACTCAATCGCTCGTAAACTCAATGACCAAGTGATTCAACTCTCCAATATCGGCTTGCATCGATTCGCAACACAATGTTGAAACCCAACCACTAATGATCCATTCCATTTAAATGTATGTCTGCTATCGTACGACTGAATATCACCCCGATGCTACAGTATTCGGGGATTAGATGATTCTCTTTTCCAATTTCTGGTTTTCCTACCGATTAGTTAGGAAGACAGTTTTTTCCGGTTTGGGTCAAATAGAAGGTTGTTTTCATTTTTTTCTGATTCACAAGCAATTGGTTTAATTCGGCACACAAATTTGTCTAAACTGTGGGCTAAACAAATGGTGGAAAAATTGAGTCCTATGATATTTCCATCTATCGTCGTATGAACCTGTATAACAATTATCTGTCGTGTCGAGGATATGAATCAGAATGAATAGATTCCATTTTCCGTCGAATGATTGAAATTCAATGAAGAAATGAAGCATCCACTTCGTCACTTCTGAATTTGCATGTGTAGTGGTGTCTGGTGTACTGAAGTCAAAAATCTATGATCCAATTGCTCATTTGCTCAAACTCTGCATTCGTTATTCTATATCCACATTTTCTTTTAGATCCCTTTATAGTCTGCGGTTGGATGCGATCAATTTGTTATTTTTGTCCTCAAACGAAGCGATTTTACTGACAGATCTCTGCTCCCGTGGATGGCTCAGATCAAACTTTTCGCTTCACGATAGACACCGCAATCCAGTTCAGATGATGAAGATGATGATGATGTTTGTTGTCTTCTAGATTCAGTTTATTCACTTTTTACTCAGGGGTTCTATCACCCCATTAACGAGTTGTGCAACTAACAGCCACTCGGTCCGAATTTCATCAGATGAGTCCTAGCTAGGAGTGAAGGTCGTGTGGGCAGCCTCAGGCGTCGATTGATGATGCTCCCTGGTGGACCAAACCCGACTAAAGTTGAGCACACTCCATTCTCTTCTATCTGCACTTTGACTCTGCTCTCCACATTTCCTATCTTTATTCTGCTGTTTTATCCAAATGGGCTACTAAAAGAGAGCAATCAAACCCGGCCCAATGAAAATGCATGGGTAATGACTGAGAAACTTGAAACGGAAACTTGTAGCTTCGGTATTCTGATCAGCAAGACAAACAAGTGGTCTGCACAGTCCCGCTTTTGTGTGTGTGTGAGAGAGAAATAGAATACTGCGATACTTGCAAAATGCGTGCAGAATTTTCGTTCACCTTNAATTCGATCAGAAATGTACGTTTGAATTTGCGTGCGAACATTGCTCACACTTTTATTGGTACACCAGTCGAGAAACATTGAGTGTATGAAGTAGACAAATTGATCAAACTTTACAAACAATCGAGGCTCAGTCTGCATTGAAATACAGAATAATTTTAGCAGAGACTAATCGATTGTAAACCGTGCACTTCAAAAATCTCGTCATGAACTATATTCCAGAAACGAAATGTCATACAGAATTAAGTGTTTCCAAGGAGATAGCAAAATGTCCTTCCGAGGGGACTTAATTTTGGTTTAGCTCCGAGAAAATGCAAAAATGAATGGTGTTTTGATCATATCAACCGGAGGTTTTGTGTGTGTGTGTGTGTGTGGACAAAAACTGGTGTACTGTAAACGGACAAATGCAATGTTGTCAACTTCAGTGATAAACGGAAATTCTTTTTAAGCTAACCTGATACCCAGCCATTATATCGAACTGTGATCTGTTTAAGAGTATTTTCCTTTTAGTCGGTAAAATGGCTTGAAATCGAAATGCTGAAAAAATAAACAATTGTTGAGCCAGACGATGCTGTTCTAAATATCCATGTAGACAATGAACGCAAACTAATTACCACTTGTGTGCTCACATGTACATACTTTTTAACTTGAAGTGATATTTTTAAATGCGACGGAAATGTTTATGATGACTGACAAAGAGCACTGAAAAGGTGTTCCATCCTGTTTTCTGGGACTCGTCAACAGTGCATACATTTTGTATCCCCGTCAGAACTTGAACCGCAAACCTNAGGCGGTCGGCGGTCATCACCGCTTGCGATTGCCGATTATTAGAAGAATTTCCATCGCATTTAATTGCATTCAACTTGTGGGGAATTAACGATCTCCAGAGGAGTGCAAGCCGGACTCAGGACCATCAAGAGTGCTCGGTGCCTCTAAACAATCGAATGGGCTAATCCAATCTGGATAATCTGAAATGATACTGATTGGTAGAAGACGTATGAGTGGTTTCGGTGATCTGCCACGCTCTCCAATGGTTATCAGTTTGATGATTTCCTACCTGACAGATCTTAAACAATTTCTTCGTGAATAGATGATATGCCTTGATACCTTAGTATAAAAATTAAAACTCCAATGACAAGTGTACCTCGTACGAGTTCCTGTTAAAGACACGAAGTTCCTTCAGCATGGTTGTACGGAAAACTATGTAGAACGATGTAGAACATACAACCAATACGGGCGCACAAAGCTTGTATAGACTCAACTTGAGTATTGGCATAATTATTACCAATTTTATGTTGACTACTGATTATGTAATTCGTATTTTAAATAGCCCCACAGCAAACTGAATTGTTGGGACACATGAAACTATTATGAATGCTTTTTTTCTGCTCATCCACGCGATGACAACCAGAGGTGACATAATCCGATAAGATCTTCGAGTGGGCCAGTTCAACTTTACACAAAATTCTTCACATACGGGGCAGGGAGAGAGAGAGACAGAACGTTTGCTCACACGCTGATCAATCAATACCTTTCAGGACACACTCCATCAGACATTTTGTGAGGTGTGTTTTAACCAGTGGTTTGCTATCCGTGAGCTGTATGGTCACGTGATTATCGATTTTTCCGAATGTTATGCATCAGTTTAGTCTTGTTCGTTCACATCTGCCTAATTCATGAGGGATACGTGATGAAACATGAATAACAGTAATGATGATAATCAGATTAATATCATCAACATATATCATAAAGTTGGATAGAATTATGAAATTCAACCGACGGGGATGGGGTTATTTATTGTGTTTGATGAAACTGATTAGGTTAAGGTCCTGCTCAGATAGTTAAGAAACGGAACATTCAAATGATGATCATGTATAGTTTACTGAGCCTAGTTGTGGGTGATAGGAGACTCTGGGTGATGAGAATAACACCTAATATGAACGTATGAGGGCACTGATCAAGAGACTCGCACTCTAAGCTTTCTGTTTGTGAATCTTATAGTATAAATATACAATATATATCAATACAATATATCACAAATCCAGCTGATCACTGAATAAAGGCACTGTGTGATCTGTTTATAGCTTTGTAACTAGTGACGTTCCTCTATCTACTTGTCTGCCACTACACTGATCCAATCTATTTGACTTGAACTTTCTCAGATATTCGTCCCGTTAGCCCTGTAGCACATGCGGCCAACATATTTTGTTCCACAGGAGTAAGTGAAAGAGTAAATACAGAACGAGGCAGCAGAATCGGACACTATCCTTCAACCGTAGATCAGCCAACGGGCTGGATATGACACGAGTTTGAAGCCTAGTCGTTTTGTGGATGGTATTAAATAACCTTCGATGAACAATCTCTGCCAAGATCTCCTCTTTAAATGGTAAAGAAATGTGCACAGATTTCTTCTCTGCTACTGTTCTCTTGGGAAACGTCTCTTGTCTTTGCATCACGGATTCCACCAAGCACTCCGGGTATCCATTCTGGATAAAAATACCCCGCACAATTTGAAGTTCCTCAGCCAGCATGTCCTCTGTGCAAGTTCTTCTAACTCTATTAACCAAACAGAGTATGAGATTCTTTTTCATACTGAGTGGTACAAAGCTACGGAAATGAATGTTTCCCATTCCAAGTCGCCTTATTTTGTACTAACCACCCATCATCACAATCAGTTAGGCAAACATCTAGTTGATTGCTTGCCTCATTTTCAATCGTGAATACTCTGTCAAACAGATTTGCATATTCCGTGGGAGTAAGCCAAAAAAGCCGGTATTTCACGAAGGTTGATTACTTTTGGTATACAGAATAAATAGCAAAAGGAAAACTTATAGAAGGGGTCAGTGGGGATAACATCACTCTTTCGCCAAATATAGGGGTTCCTTCAGTCGAGTTGGTATGGTACTTTCATTTCACGCGCCCCTCTCCAGGACTTTTGACTGCTTTGGTTAGCGCCTTTGCGGTACAATATACATACAATATATAATGAGACCCCAAAATTGAATTGGTTTTATCGTGTTTCTTCGAATGTATCTGTTAGATACGAATTGAACGTTGATTTTCAAACGTGTGATACGAGTGAACATTTGCAGTTGATGACTCACCTGCGGGTAGNNNGTAGATTAATGAAACTTCTGCGCCGAGGACGGAGGAATTCAACCTATGGATTGATTAGCAGTTAATCAGTCAATCGATCTCAACTGGATTGAGGTTGAACAGTGTTACTGGATTGTGTGTGTATGTGGTTTATGTAGTTGTGCGAGTGTATGGTGCCAATGTGAACTCACGGACAATGTGGTCTGTGCGTAGTTGTTTTGGTATGGTTTCGGATTGTTTCACATAGTCAATTTGTCAATGAAATTCGTGGTAAGACTGATAAAAACGGTTAGACAATTGCGTCATCCTTATCAGAGCTGCTCACCAGTGCATTTTGTTGTTGTCTCTATCGCGAACCGAACTGCGAACAGACAGATTGGGATCCACAAAACTGTTGGCCCTGAGTTGCACGATCAGCGATCGAAGATGCATGAACTCTCATAGAATTAATTTATGCCCTTCAGGAATGCCCACTGCTGCTTCACCGGTAGCCACAGGTATGTAGATGGACTACCTGGAGAAAATTAGCAATCGAGAAAAAAGACCTATACCCGTCCAACTTGCAAAGGTATATGGAATCCACCAGGAAGCTGATTGCCCCGACAGGTTTTCCTTAGAATTCACCGGAGTTCACCGAATAGCGTAGGCGGCGTCCATGCGTGGGTTAGAATCATACCGAGGCTACTGAACTTTTCACAATCTCGACATAAAGACCGATACAACGAATTGAGAGAGCAGAATGATTTCCACGACTACCAGGGACATGGAGTAAGCATATATACATATATATATATATATATATATATATATATATGTTACCGTGAAATAATCGGTCAGCTGACACTGCTCGCATGTACAATGACACGTACTCAGAGGCCAGAGAAAATTTATGCTGTCCAAATAATAGACACTGACAAACATCAATTTCGTTGAGCATGATTCATGCTCATTCAAGTCGCAAACAATCTACTCAGTATGCGATTTTTCTACGCTTCCTGACGGCTCCGTCATAACACACAGAGTGAATGGAATTCTTCCGCATGCTATCTGTGCGACCACAAATGGTGGATGCCGTAAAGATAAAGCTGATCAGAATACGACCTGACTTGAGTGTGTGGAAACACTGACTCACTCATGTCGGTAAGATTTGACTTGGTTAGGAACAACCGAACTGAACAACCGAATCGTAGTTTGAAGACCTTGTGTGAATTGGCTGTGTCATGAATAACAGCTCTGATGCAGCTATACGGTCTGTAGGCAAATTCAATCTATTGTATCTATCTATCTATCTATCTATCTATCTATCTATCTATCTATCTATCTATCTATTTGTCTGCCTGCCTATTTACGCATCAATCTATCGTTCTCCTATTCCTTCATTCAAATGGGCAGTCAAGATAAAGCAACCGAAACTGCCGTATGAAATGACATGAATAATGGGTGTATAAACTGAAACAGAACAGAATTAAATCAGGACAAGCAGTTTATTTGGATCGTATTATATTACTGAACACATGAGATGGCAAATAATAACCAGCAATAATTGAATGACTGATACGCGAGAGTACATTGATCGATTTAGGATGACCTAAAATTAAGTCACTACAATTCATGGACAAAACCCAAATTGCTGAAATGGTTCTCACTGGGAGTCAATAGCAACTGTATCATTTGATCTGTCAACAAATGAGTATTTACTTAACAATAGAGCACTGGTCTCTTAGCGATTGATTCAAAAGTATTTTTTATTGTTAAATTAACTTTGATTTTGCGTATTCAGTTAAACAAATTGTTCTGTATGACTTTTAACGTGAGCTTTTCGTCTCTTTTTCCGGGTATGGTATGATGAAATTACCAGGGGATGGGGGTGGAGTGGTTGATCAAAGCCTACTTTCATAAACTGAAAAGAAGAAAACGGAATAGCTTCTTTTTTCTGAAATCATAGTTCTCTATTATACTTACAGGTCTATTCCGAGCTGCGGTTCCCAGTGGCGCATCGACTGGGATTTACGAGGCCAATGAAATGCGTGACAATGCTCGCGAATACATGGGCAAAGGAGTGATGAAAGCAGTGAACAATGTGAACAAAATTATCGCGCCTGCATTGATTCGGAAAAATCTGTGCGTAACGGAACAACAAGCAATTGATGAATTCATGGTCAACGAGTTGGACGGCACGATGAACAAGAGTGAGTTTGGGCTGATTGATGACAGGGCGTGTTTTTGATCACGTGATCACGATCAAATCCATGTTGAATTGTCTACCTAATAATTGTTTATTGGTATGTACCTGGCCGGATTCCGGGTTTCGCGATCGAGTATTTACAGGATCGATTTTCTTGCGGAGTATTCACAAGTAACGGTTAGAACCTATTGGTAGATATGTATTTATGAGTAGCTTAGGAGTGAGAGGACAAAACTTTCGGATTTGGATATTTGATGAACAGCAAAAAAAACAACAACACGAAAACGGCTTGCGAAGAAGCATGATATCAATGTGACCAGAATAAGAATAGAAAAATGGTGGGATTGTGATGTAAAATGGAGCGATAAGTGAAACAAACAAGTACCGTTGAATAGAAGAACAAGAATTGACATGAGAGATGATCGTGACAGCCGTTGAACAGGGAGAAGACAAAGGCCCGATATCTAGGCTTAATTTAACATACAAATGGACAACAGAGGTTGAAAAGGAATGCGGGGAAAATTTAGAGGGACGACAGACGAGAGTGTAACAAAACAAGAATGATTATTTTTTTTGTTTTGTTATTATTTGGTTCACCTTGCACCTTTTTATGTTTTTTTTTTGTGTGTGTGTTAGTTAAACACATCAACTCTATTCATTTCTGTGTTTTCATGTGTTTGAATGGAAGCCATGAGGTTTATGTGCACGGGCTCGGAGTGTAAGGTGACGACACATATGCATTCATCATTTTTTTTTAACAATTGTTGTTCATTTTTATTTCCTATTTTTTGAGTCAGTTCACCAGAATTAATCACTAATCATCAAAGCAAGTACATCATGTTGAGCGAACAGGGTACAAACCAGATGGGCTTGATCCTTTCTTTCTGATGTTCCCATCAGTCACAATTAGGCTTAAATTTCTTTCAACATGCTAGTGCGATAAAGCGCGACAATCCAGAGGTTTTTTTTTCAAAGGCATTTAAATTCTCGCTAAATCAGTTTCCCATGTTTTACAGGCCGGGATTGGCATGCGTTATGGATAACTATTTCAGGATTTGCTCCCGGTATACCGAGCACGATGACTCTTTGGTCAAGGGGTTAGCAGGTTTGCATTCTACCCGTGATGTCCCAGGTTCAGTTCCGATTTAAGCGGATGGATTCATTCACTGCACTGATGATTCTAATTATGTTCCGATTTTAACTTTTCCTTTATCGATTTTGAATTTTTTCCGTTCTGCCACATTTGCTAAGTCAGTCCAGTTTGGATAACTTCTACCTTACCATATCCGGAACTGTTCTCCTCGGTGCCTGTACTATATTTGTCATGTTATTTTAGATACGTTTGATTTCAGATTGGGCCCAGCTCCAATTTATCAGACCCAACTGGGGTGAAGTGTTGTTAAACGAAACGTTCATATCGTCATTCCCACCCACCTTATTAATAGTTGAAAAAAAATGGAAACTGAATGTGATTAGTCATGGTGTTCAGTTTTTCGCCTGAACTAGTTTCATCTTAATTATTTGCCATTTATTTGGTTACTATTCCCGTGTTCTGCATTCAGTTTCAAATGATACCGTTTCAGCTTCAACAATCCTCAAACATCACACTTTCGTGCTCCGTGTTTGGTTTCTGACTCCCTATTTATTCCTCCTGTCAACCGCTTGAACGGTAGAATGGATAATAGCCGTGTGCGACCTGAGAAACTGAAAGGTGTGAAAAAGATGATTGGCCTGTACAAGCTCCAGTGTTTACAACATCCCACCAGTTTGCTGAGGTTTCTATCGAATTCCCCAAGAAGGGAGTCGAATATATATATATATATATAGTCTTTGCCCCAACTGCTACCTGTCTCGATTAATGTCACACGCACATATAAGCGGTGAATCGCGCAATAGGTACTTCAACCAGCACAATCTACGAATATCAAATAACTGAGTAATTTTATGACTGCGGGATCTTCGCAGCCGCCCGTTGGAGCAACTGGTCGACTTCCATAGATTACGTTGTTTGGGGCATGTGTTACGCATATCACCAAATAGGTTGCCACGACAAGCGATGTTTGCCAAAGGTAGTTAGCGGTTGGAAAAAGGTCAAGGGTGGTCAAACTAAGATCCGGCACGAGGGTATAAACATCCATAACCAGGGTCAGATAGGTCCCGTTAGGCTCCCTGGCTGAGGACCTCGGGATGATTGGAACCGATTGGTTAGAGACACTGAGTGATATGGCTGGGTGTCGCAAACAGTGGTGTTCGTGCATCTACTCAAAGTCTGTGCAACTTTAGGCCACTAAAATTCTCCATATCTCTTCAGTTCCACTTTCAACTCTCCTGTCTTTCTCTCACTGCTTCATCGAAATCGGTAACCAAAAGACATCAACTAAAACCGGCACACAAAAGTGCATGGTTGTTGGTTGTATAAACTGAAACTGATCTCATCTAATCTCAGCATTGCTTATTCGGTTTCATACCGTTTTAATGTATTTCTGCCTAGATAGATATATTTTACACAGATATCCCGGAAAAAAGGAATCTCTTCAAATATTCATATGGTGTTGACCGTAGATTCGCAAGTTTTGTTCAGACATTTCATTAAAATTTAGATGTACCATAGGTTCGGAACGAGAACTGGTGCTCAAATCATACTTCTCAACTGTTTGACCATTAGTACACCTTTCCCCTATCCTATCCTAACGGCATCTGATTGTGTCTTCTCTACGGTAACACCAGTAATACACATTTACCCTGGTTTTGCGGCTCCTCATTTCTGATCAGATTTTTAAGCTCTCTAAACAAATCAGTTTACCTATGTGTTCTCTTCAAAGTTTGCCGAGCGCACTCTAAACTATTTTTCTTCAATGAGTCTGTGGCCATGAACACAACCACCACCTGCTGTTCCCGCACTACGATGGCGTCGGGATTTCCGAGTCGTTATTGGTGTCGCTGAGCCATCCATTGCTTGGTCTCTGGATCGAAACTGTACACCTAGATCTCATCACCACTGATGATCCCCCAAGCTGCATTGGAACGTTCACCATAAAACCTGGCAAGCATGGTGGAGCTGATGGAGTATCCAGCGTGCACAGACCTTTCTGAAGCTGAGCTTCTCACGTGGACCCGTTGCGGAGTGATCTCGACGAGATCCCGATGACTTTCGTCAGCTGTGTCATTGTTACCTGTGCATCCTACTTCACTACCGCTTACACAACAGCAATTTTTTCTCCTGTGGTATTCTCTATGGATAAACCACATCGTATCTCATCATCCAGGGACCACCTGCCATCCTTGAATTCCTCAAACTACTCAAACACAATGCTTTTTGAATGCACGTCAACACCAAAGGCAGCTCGCAAAGGATCAACACTCTGCTGCTGTTGCTTTAAATCACCTTTTTACTCGCAGAAAATCATCACCCTCTAATGACATCAACTGAGTTCCATTCTTTCAATCCCAAAGTTGTGACCCACATAACGTGTGAGCTGTGCTCGGCTGCTCATATTCGATTCTCAGCCCTTGAATGATGTTTTTTTTTCTTGTCACCTGGGTTAGGGTAAAGTCTAAATGGAAATCAAGGGACATTCGAAATTGTACTCACCATTTACCAGGACAAACTTTTATGCCGGTAAAGAGGTTTACGACAGAGAAACAGAAATGTATTTGATACTGTCAGTCTGTTGATCTTTGATTTCTTTTGTTAAGAACATTGAATCAAGATTTGACCACCCGAGAGAAGAAAGAATAATACATTTGAGGTGCCTAGTCCCTATTGTATTTTTTTCTGAATCTAATCGGAACTATACACACACACAGGCTTATCCACTCGTTATTTTCAATAACTGGCATATCTGGTTATCTGAACCAACGGGAACAAAGATAGAAAAGTTTGGCCGTTTGTTACTCACAAAATTAGGTTCTCCACAGGTACTGATTGTGTATAGTTTAGCGTTTAGTAAATGAGAACTGAACAAGGCCAATTGGATCTTAATCGTGCACTGTGTGATGGTGATTCGGAGGGTACACTCCAGACTAAATTTGAATCTATAAGTATAAGAAATAAATGTCCGGCGTGGAGGCAATTTCTCAATTTGACGTATTAAGTCTCCAGTGATTTTACATCCTGATACAATTGGAACGATCTTCTCAATACCATTTCGGACGTTGATTGGTAGAAAGTACCTGTATCAGTTTCAGTTCAATTTATGTGCAACCAGTAAACATACCCCGTTTTGTGTGCCCGTTTCGGTTTTTGCTTCTTACCTAACCATTGGGTGAAGAAGTACAGGGAAGATTGCAATGTTGAAAATGGTGTTAAGGGGAAATAAACAACTCAAGGAGACTAAGGTTGCAAGGCGATTGAGCAGATGCACAAGCGGCACTGT